CTATCAAAAGAAACAAGAAAGTAAAGACGAAAACACTAATAAATATGCACCCAAGGGTATGGCATACTGATCAATAAGGTGAGTGCAAAAATTGAAGGCCAGGGAACACTAGGTGATTTTTTCCCATCTGCCTAAGCCTTAATGAATAGAGTTACTCGTTATCTACACCGGTGGGAGATAGCAAGTACCCTGTAGAATAGTCGATATGTGCATAAACTGGCGCTAACACCAATGTTGTAAAAAAAACACTAATGGATATCAATGAAAACCTATCTTCCTCATTTCTAGTTTCGCTATAAAGGACCATTTTAAACACATAAAGTGATAGGGTCTTTTCATTAAATAAATTTCCATTAGGTAATAACCTATCCATTTTCCAACAGATATATGCTCATCTACTATTATGATAAAATAATCAGCACGATGAACTCTTGAAACAAGCCAAAAATAAAACCAAACTAGACCTTCTTCATCTGTCGATACAGAATTTAATTCACAACCACTTCTTATTTGGCAACCTCTCTTCTCCAGCTCATCCTTAACCTACATTCAATGTCCCCATCAAATACTCTCAAGGATGACACATGCTTAACATATCATGCAAGAAAGTGAAAATTGGTAATTGCCTGAAATTTTTCTCGGGGAAATAGTAAAAACTTTGTGGTATCTATGAATAAAATTCACCTTGTTTATAGATGTATGTGATCCCCATCTTACAGTGAGCAACTGAGGGAGACCAAAGAGCTTTAAATAAAGAACAAAAGCACCCTTAGGCACAAGTATAATAAAATGATATATGTAAGCATTCAAATTCAGTCTCTTGCATTTAACAATTGGGTATAATCTACACACAAAGTACGCTAATTGAACAGTTGATGAGTGGAAGAACCTGAAGAAGATGGTGGTTGCGGAAGAATGAAAGAATGTAATAAACAGAAAAGCCCATTACTCCTTCTAGGGGACAGGACCAGATTGAAGAACATATTGGAATCTGTGAAACATATGAGTAAATTGCTTATAGCAAGGACAATTTGTTGAGTGAACAAAAAGCGTATTGCACCTATCAAATCAATAACTACGACAATCGCACTGTCACCACTCACCAGATAAGCCTTCAGAAATAACTCCGAACAGCCATTTGACTTAATAAATTGCCCTATTGTTTCATCGCGACCAATGTCAGGATTGTTGTCGAGTGCTTCAAGGTAACTGCAATGTGATCAGAAACACATTCGTGATGAAATAAACTTCATTGGAGATAGCTCTTTCCTTGACACATATATAAAGAAAGCATACAAAACAGAACGATCTAGTCCATTTTAATCAAATGCATGAACAAAGAAGACTCTGTGCTCTAAATTTCTAATGGGATGAGTAAATCAACAAATTGCTCAAATAAGAAGGCATATTTAAAGACAAATAAGTTATTGGTACCTTATGACATCCTGCTTGAACTTGATAATTTCTCTAATCATTTGCCAAAAATATGGATTCAAGACATTCTTCTTCTGTGCAAACAAACTAGAGATTCCATTTCGGGTACCCCATTTGCAACCACGGCCTTGGTCTAAGCTCACTGAAAATGACATATTAGAGATCTCCATAACTCCGAGGAACTCAAAAAATTCCATCATATTTGGATAAGTTACCTGTCAATTACACCATTTCAGCATTAACATGTCGAATTCATGAGCCCGCCCTTTAGTGCAGGGGCGAATGTAGATCATATGAATCAATAATTTGAAGGATTGCGTATAGGAGTTCGTAACACGCAGCGGAAGACAATAACAATCTTAGGAAGATCCTTTCGTGTTTAAAATTTATTTACATGTCAAAGATCGGATCTAAGACGTACCTGGTGAAGAAAGTCTCGTTTCAAATTCTTCGATAGTGCGAAGACTCTATGCGTATCCACACCGAGACCGATCCTTGCTATCAACTCTTTGATTAATGAAACCCGTAAACAAATTGAATGAAAACACCTGACTGAATTTTCTCAAAATTTCAGCTTTTTCGGAACGGTACAAGGAAACTAATTTTCCTTCTCAAAGTATGCTCTCTCTTTATTTGTGTAGCTCTGCCAAACCCTTTTGTACCGTCCTTCGTTTTTCACCGTAATTTAAATATATACATATATGTATCACGTAAATAATACTTTTCCAATAGAATAAGGAAAAGTCAGAAGCGTTGGTATGGGCAAAAAGAAAGACGTGACTTAACCAAATATGAAATTGGACTTTTCTTTCCATAATTTTTAATGGGAAAATTTCAATCCCATTCCATATAGGTAAGAAACTGGTGATGTCCTTTAGGACTTTCTTCGTTAGTCCAATTCCAATTGGACATAACAAATAGTCTTTATTAATATTTATATACATCCCATATATAAATAATATTAAGTATGAGTACTAAATATGTATCACATATATATTTCAAATAAGAGATATTATTTAATTTTTTATTCCAAATAGAAAACTTCAATTCGTTCACAATATTAATTATATCCTCTGTGCTAGTAAAGAATATAATAATATTTCATTTGGACTAATAACTAAATCTATTTGACTAATTAAATTCCTTAATTTAATTATCAAATAATAAGTTAATTAATCTTTTAGCAAAGATCAGAACACTCGTTAGTGTGCGACCCCATAGGTTCAATACTAAACCGGTAGTAAATTGATCACATCAATTTACTAATCAAGGGTGGCGTCTGACAATACTCCTTAACGACCAGATAGCATGAAGTATACAATTTACTCTCAAGAACCAGTAGAAGAATAATGTAGTAATTCCTTCTGTCCTTATAGCTCTGGATCACCCTAGGATATAGTTCAACTGTCAAATCCTAATAGGCGACCAACTATGTGCTCAAATCAAATATAATCGACCATTGAATGACCTAAGCAACTCGTTTCTTCTTTCATTCAATTGCCCTGGCCAAGGTCTTAATTTGGTCGTTCATAATTCATGACAACATGGAGCTTAAACTCATTACCAAGAGTTGACAGATTCCATCTTGAACAATCACTAATTCTACAAGCATTTAATCATACCCAATATCCTTTCAACTATCACCCTAGGGCCATAGGTATCTAGTATCAAAGAGCAATAAATAACTTATCAATTACTATGACGATCTCAGGTCAAAGGAAACGGTTGCATCACATTCTTCAAGAGAATATCCTATTGATAGTTTATGGTAATTCTAACCATTAGGAATTATCCAATGAGTCGGTTCAATGATCATATCTCTATATGCATCATCTATCTATGTAATTTAGTTAATGAGATCAACTAATCTTTATCCCATAAAGACGATCACATAAATATTGATCTAACCGGATTATTAATGTCCAAATTAATAATCTTACGATCAAGAACAAATTTAGCTAAATTATAAGAAACTTTACTCTCATTATCATGATCTCCATCACAATGTCAAGTCTCAAAGTTTAATCAAGGACCTTATCAAATTAATCAAGCAATTAATAACAATGATAAAAGAATATCAAATGCCATATATATTTTATAAAAATATGTTCAAAACATCAAATATGATATTGGATCTAGGGGATATCTACTATATCCCTAACAATCTCCCACTTGCATTAGAGCCAATCGCTCTTGTACTTCATTCCCAATTTCCACTTGTGCTTGTCAAACTCCTTTGCGCCAAGAGCTTTAGTGAATGGGTCTGCAACATTTTCCTTTCCATCAACCTTTTGAATCTCGATGTCTCCACGTTCAATGATCTCTCTTATCAAGTGATACCTTCGCAGAACTTGTTTTGATTTTTGGTGTGATCTTGGTTCTTTTGCTTGAGCAATGGCTCCAGTATTGTCACACAAGAGTGGAATCGCACCTTCTATTGAAGGAACCACACCAAGTTCAGTTAAGAACTTTTTCATCCATACAACTTCCTTAGCAGCTTCACTAGCTGCTATATATTCTGCTTCAGTCACTGAATCAGCTACTGTAGCTTGTTTGGAACTTTTCAAACTCACTGCACCACCATTTAAGGTGAATACATAACCAGAAATAGATTTGCTATCATCTCTATCTGAAGAGAACTTGCATCAGTATAACCTTCAAGTTTCAACTCAGAATCTCCATAGATGAGGAATTGGTCTTTAGTCCTTCTTAAGTACTTAAGAATGGTCTCCACCACCTTCCAATGTTCCTCATCAGGATTTGCCTGATAGCGACTAGTCATCCAAGTGCATAAGCCACATCAGGACGTGTACATGTCATGGTATACATGATAGCTCCCACTGCACTAACGTATGGGATCCTACTCATGCGTTCTCCCTCTTCAGGTGTTTTAGGACAATCCTCCCTACTGAGAGTAATTCTAGTGCCTATCAGTAGATAGCCTCTTTTGGAATTATCCATATTATACCTCTTTAAGATGGTATCAATGTACAAAGACTGGGAAAGTCCAAGCAGCTTCCTAGATCTATCTTTATAGATCTTTATTCCTAATATATAAGCTGCTTCTCCCAAGTCTTTCATGGAGAACTGTTCAGATAGTCAAATCTTGGTACTTTGCAATGCCAATATGTCATTCCCTATGAGCAATATATCATCAACATACAACACTAAGAATATAATTGTGCTCCCACTAACCTTTTTGTACACACACGGTTCTTCTTCGCATCTAACAAAATTAAACTTTTCAATTGTCTTGTTAAATCGAATATTCCAACTTCGAGAAGCTTGCTTTAGTCCATAAATGGATCTCTGTATCTTACAAATTTTATTATGATCAGACGACGATGTGAAACCTTCAAGTTATGTCATGTACACATCCTCTTCTAGCTCACCATTAAGGAAAGCTATTTTCACATTCATTTGTCATATTTCATAATCATAGTATGTTGCTATAGCAAGAAAATTCCGAATTGATTTGAGCATTGCCACAGAAGAGAAAGTCTCGNAATAAGGTTCGATTTCTCCTTTTAGACACACCATTATGTTGTGGTGTTCCTGGAGGTGTCCACTATGAGAGAATCCTATTCTCTTTGAGATATTTCGTAAAATTTTCACTAAGATATTCTCCACCTCTATCAGACCTTAGTACTTTGATACTTTTACCAGTCTGTTTCTCAACTTCACTACGGAACCTTTTGAACATTTCAAAAGATTCAGACTTGTGTTTCATAAGATACACAAATCCATATCTTGACATATCATCAGTGAAGGTGATGAAGTAAGAATATTCACCTCTAGCTTGAATTTTCATGGGCCCACAAACATCTGTATGAATCAATCCCAATAATTCACAAGCTCTTTCTCTACTTCCAGTAAATGGAAATTTGGTCGTTTTTCCATTGAGACAAGATTCACAAGTTGGATATGATTCAAAATCATATTTGTCAAGGTACCTTTCCTTGTACAACTTGTTAATTCTTTTCTCTCCAATATGACCAAGCCTACAATGCCAAAGGTATGCATTATTTACTTGATCTTCTCTTTTCCTCTTAAGACTTGAAACATGCATAATCGAATTAGCATTCACATTAGGTAAGACATAAACATCATGTTGGAGATAGCCATTCACATATAAATTATCACTATAATAAATAGAGCAAATACCATTGCCTATATTAATGCGAAAACCACGTTTGTCTAACATAGAAGCTGAAATTATGTTCGAAACAAATTTAGGAACGTAATAACACTCATCCAACATAAGTACTTTGCCCGTAGGAATTATTAAAGAAATTGATCCTACAGCTACGGCTGCAACTTTTGCACCATTTCCAACTTGTAGATTAATTTCTCCTTTCTTCAACTTTCTACTTATCTGGAACCCCTGCAACATATTACAGATGTTATAACCACTGTTAGTATCTAATACCCACAATGAAGAATTAGTAGTAGTTAAAGAAACCTTGAAAATATTTTTCGTTAAAGTCTTACCTTGTTTCTTGTCCTTTAAAGTTGCAAGATACTCTTAGCAGTTTCTCTTCCAATGGCCTATTTTCTTACAATGGAAACATACAACATCAGATTAGTCAGCTTTGCCTTCTTTGCCTTTGGGTTTGGTCACACCACCTTTGGGCGCAGTAGGCTTTTTCTTGGGTTTACTTTTACCCTTACCCTTCTTCTTAGAAGAGTTTCCAACCAACATGACAGTTCCTTTCTTCTTCTCAGATGCAAGTTGATTTTCATAATCAATCAGCATGTTAAGCATCCCATGAAGATCAAAATCCATTTTATTCATATTGAAATTAATAACAAATTGTGAAAAGGATTCTGATAGTGACTGCAAGATCAAATCTTGAGAAAGCTCTTTACCCAGTTTGCACCCCAACTTCTCAAGTTCTTCAATAAGATCAATCATATGATTGATATAGGGTCCAACTAGAGAGTTTCCAGTCAATTTGGATCCAAATAAAGCCTTAGATAACTGGTATCTAGTTGTCCTGCTTTGTGTACCAAACATCTTCTTAAGATGTTCAATGATTGCAGTTGGATCCATATCCTGATGTTTCCTCTGTAGTTCAGAATTCATAGAAGCGAGAATGATGCATTTGGTAGTAAGACATTCTTCCAAGTATTTCTGATAAATCTTGGTAGCATCATCATCATCCTCATCTGGGACTTCCTTGGCAGGCTTATCGATCACATCAATAAGCTTTTCATGCATGAGAACAATTCTCAAATTTCTGTACCAATCATCAAAGTTTGGTCCTACCAACTTGTTGATCTCAAGTATTCCACGCAATGATATAGCAGACATATTGAGAAATCTAAAATATAGAAAAGAAAATGCAATGATATAAAAACATATTTGCATATATCATAAAGATATGGACTTTTATCTAAATGATATTTTCACTAATTATTTTAAACTATTTACTCTCATTATAGTTTACGAAATCTTTATTTCT